TGGTGTGATTAGTTCAGCTTAGGGTTTGTCAGAAAATTAAAGTGTATGTACATTTTTTATGTCCTAAACTAAAGATGTGGGCTAATTAGGTGACTGTGTTTGCTACTCCAGTGACATATTTGCTGTACATTTGAAATATACTATCATGGTTACAACTAGATCAAGCCCAAGTTGGGAATCTATTTGTCGTTGGCTGAAGTAAAACGTGATGACACCATGCATACATCTTCATGGAGGTCTTCACGGAGATGATAAAATGGCTATAATCTCAGTCCTCACTTTCCCCTGACTATTGAGATTTTCTTGGATTCCTTACCACAATCTTTTTTCCTGAACGAATAACAGCTGTTCATTTAGCAAATGTCTACTGCTTGGATAGTAACGATAATGACGACAACAACAACAGTACATCAGCCATTTGGACTGATGTTTCACTGCCATACAACCATGAGGACCTATGAAATAAAGAATAAGAAGAGGGAGAGAAGGGGGACTTGCCTGAAAACCTTAATACCCTAAGCAAACATTCAGGGTCAAGGCGCCTACACCTTGTGTTAACAACATACTGTCACAAACAGCTGGCTATCGTGCAAAGATAAGGCGGCATCGGCGAGACAGCTTCCTTGCGGCTTTCACTGCCACACGTCATAATCAGCTATTACCCGACAAATAACTCAGCACCAAACACACTTTAAACAGGCAATCTGATTAGGAGACGGCAGCGGACGCACCATTGATATCGGTTTCGTGCCATGTCTTGTAAAGTCTCGAGCAAAGCACAAGGCGAGTCACGTGGACTTCAGCCCGGAAGGTGAAACGGACCAACGGCACCCAGTTTGGTCGTCAGTGACTTCATTTTCCGCTGCCAAGTCAACTTTTGTCCACCGCGAGTCTTGAGCCACCCTACACCTGGCAGACTAAACAAGGCCCTCCTAGGTAAGCGGTGACCAGTCATACGTAGCACGTGCCCGAGCCAACGCAACTTATTCAGTGCTATCTGTTGTTCTAGGGAGCTAGCATGATTATCGCCACCTAGTACTCGTCTACGCACATCATCGTTACGGACACGCTGGTGTCATCCGACACCAGCAAAGCTTCGCAGACAACGATGATCAAAGACTTGAAGGCGCCTCAGATCTTCAGACCGAAGGGGCAAAGTTTCACTACCATAGAGCAGAACGGCACTCACTGTGGCCTTGTATATCCGACCTTTCAGACGGAGGGAAACTCCCTTCTGTTGCCAAAGATGTCGCAGGTTCAAGAAGGTAGCTCTGGCTTTTGCAATGCGTGAGCTGACGTCAGTTTCTATGCGCCCATCATTGCTGATGCACCTGTCAAGATAAGTGAAATGATCAACAACCTCGAGTTCCTCGTTAGCAAGCGTCAAGGGGTCATCAAATGGCTGGTGGTCCTGCAGCAACACTTTGCACTTTAAAGGTGCGAAGTGCATACCAAATAATTGGACGACTTGAGAGAGGCTATTCAGGGTTGATTGGGCCGCCGCAATATTGTCGAAAAGCAAGACGATATCGTCCGCATAATCTAGATCAACTAACCTTTCACCAGGCAGCACTTCAACGTCTACATTGTGAGATTCCGCAAGGGAACGCTCTATGATGGAATCCACGATGAAATTGAACAAAAATGGGGAAATCGGCCAACCCTGACGGACGCCACTTGTTGTCGGAAAGCTGTCCGATAGGCTACCGTAGACTCTGTCGCGGCCTGTAGTGTTCTAATATAGAGCACGTAGGATGTTTACATATTTCGTGGGAACACCTTTTCGCGCAAGTATTTCGAACAGAATGCATCGATCGACTGAATCGAACTCACTTTTGCAATCGAGGAACACGGCTATTGTCGGTCTGCGGTAAGCGTGGCGGTGCTCTAGCACCTGCCGCAAAGTGCTTATATAATCTTCACAGCTACGTCGTATGCGGAAACTGGCTTACTCTTTTCTAATCCGTGATCCCGTTCCACAGTGAGGCGACGAACGATAATCGAGACTAGTAGTTTCCTCACAACTGGCGTTAGGCTAATACCCCTGTGGTTAGAGCAGTCTGTGTGACTGCCTTTCTTGTATATTGTCACTATAATCGATTTGCTCCAATTAGCCGGGACATTTCCTTCCAGATGCGTTCGAATAGGGAGGTCAGTGCTTTGCAGTGGACCTCTCCTCCATCCTTAAATAGTGCATGTGGGAGGGAATCCGGGCCAGCGACAAGAAAAAGATTGAGGGCCGTGATCGCGTTTCGGATCTCGGCCTCCGACGGAGGCTCTAAACTAACCGTCGATGGCTCGTCCTGCATCACCTGCGTAGGAAGATGTCCGGGAGCTGGGGGCCAACTGAACTGATCTTGAGTGTTCCGTCCAACGAGCCATACGGCGCTCCTTATTGTGTATCAGTGAACCCGCACTGTCTCTGATTGTCTCACTGACGCCTGGTTTCTTGGGACCAGTGGTGCGCATCAGCCAGGAGATCTTACGGTAATTGCCTACTGCTCCTGCCTCCTCTATTTCGTGAGCTCTACTGGTCCACTAGGCTTCCTTGTCAGCACGTAAGCTCCGCTTTAGTTCGCGCCTAATAGTTCGTCTGGTCACATTGCGCTCAGAGCCAGCCGGGAGGTTTCTTATAGATTCCAACAGGTTCACCGACCTCTCGGATATCCAGTGACTGGCGCGCTGATGATTGATAGTGCTACAAGCAGATGCTCTTGCGTTGTGTATGGTGGTCGAGATCCTATTCCACTGCAGCTCAGCGTCATTAGAACACCACAGCGAAACTTCGGTATGCAGTGCGTCTTGATAGGCTTGCCTAGCCGAGGGCTGAGACAGTTTCTCAGTTGCCAATCGGAGTAGACGGTTGGTGCGCCTCGCGGTAAAGTTCCTAGAGAAACGACAGCGTTTAAGGCATTATCAGAGTCGACACAGGTACTCTAGTACGAGCGGCAATCCAGGATGGAACCACGCCATCTGTAACTTATGGCTATGTGATCAATTTGGGTCCATCGCTGGCCAGCTAAAGGAGGACGCCAAGTGACACTTCGGCGCCTACTGTGTCTAAAAGCAGTGCTACTAAGTAACAACTGGTGCTCCGCACACAGTTGCAGCAGGCGCTCGCCGTTGTCAGTCCGTTCGGAGTTAAGTCCATAATTACCACCCAGCTGAGCTTCTGAAGAGCTCAGACGCCCTACTTGTGCGTTCATATCCCCTGGAAGTACTATAATATCTGAACTAGTAGCACTGCGTAGTAGCGCGTTCAGTTCGTCATAGAATGTGTCCTTGACTGCATTAGAACTGCAGTCGGTGGGAGTATAAGCGGAAATTCGGTGGGAGTATAAGCGGAAATCACAAGTAAACAGCGTTTTTTACTACTTCGTGAATCAACCTTAGTTGATGTCGTCGAACGGGCTGCACATAAACGGCTGTTCACCGGAATCCAATCAACCAACGATGGCTCAACTTTGGAGCTTAGAATGCTACCTACACCAGCTTGACCCGTGAGTGTTGCATCGGCGTCTCCGGATGCGTGCAACCAATAACGAGAGGATAAGCCGGGTGTAGTTAATTCAGCAACCCCGTTAGGGTCATTGATCCTAGTTTCGGACACACAACACACAATACCCAGTGTTTGTAGAAAGTAGAAGTCACGATTAAAATTCACGCACAATAATATGCCTCGACGGGGAGTCGAACCCCGGTCCACGAATTTCCGGTCCGCTGCTCTGCCACATGAGCTACCGAGGGCTGACGAATTTTAATCGTGACTTCTACTTTCTACAAACTTTACCCTACTCACAAACTTCCAACATTAATCTACCATCGCCCCTTGGACATTTGAAGGACAGGTACTTCGGTCCATTGGGACGTGACGTGTGAGTGAGCCAATCTGCAACATCAGGACAGGTACTGTGAGCCCATTGGCAATACGTCGCGCACCAAGCAGAAGTCATGTGTTAAAATTTGCGCACCTAATCGTCAGCCCTCGGTAGCTCAGGTGGTAGAGCAGCGGACCGGAAATTCGTGGACCTGGGTTCGACTCCCCGTCGAGGCATATTATTGTGCGTGAATTTTAATCGTGACTTCTACTTTCTACAAACTTTGCCCTACCCACAAACTTCCAACATTAATACCCAGTGTGTCCAAGGTGCGTGCGAGTGCAGACTGTTGACCTATTTGTCTTAGAGTGCGAACGTTGAACGTCGCCATGGAAACGGGACAGCGTGGCCTTATCAGGGACTGTCGCTCATAGGCGTCCGGTGCTTGTCGCGAGAAGGTGGCTGCAGATGGTTCTACTCAAGTAGCACTCCGGTTGCTGTCAGTTAAGCTGGGCATTAAAGAAGGAAGGTTAGTAATGAGCGTTGGGATGAGAATAAGGGTAATAGGTAGAAAAGAAAGAGGGGAAGCGCCAGCAGTAGCATGTTTTCGCTTATCCGCCTTGCTGTATGCTGCAGATAAGGCGACCCTTGATAATCTGTGCGACGGCCGATGCAGGATGAAGTTTATGTTGGAAGAAAAAGTCATGGTTGTATGTGGGGTGGGATACTGCCAGGGCGCCCAGTCCTAGACAGGACACATAGTCTTCATCCAAAGTCTTTGACTCAAATGCCTGTCCGCAAGGCCGCGGAGAGGTGGCAATGATTTAGTTTTACAGAAATGGACACCATCCCATTTCAAACCTCCAACCTGGAGGACCAGGAGACTGAGTTTGTCTGGATAATAAGGGCGTTTCATTTCATTTTCATTATTTGCTCAAACATTCTATGAAATCTGATCATTTTTACTCGGTTATCTTTTGGTCCAGTTAACGGTTTTGGACCATTTTTGCTGTCAACCAACTTGTCTCATCGTTATTAAATACTTGTTTCCTTACTTATGGTGTTGTAGGATTTGGTGACAGTACAACCATTAGCGCGCCTGTAAACGCATTTTTCATTGTTTCTCCTCTTTCTTATTGTCTGCTGACAGTCCAATCCAGTGCACTTTTATTTCCCACATAGGATACGAATGTCTCATCAAAAAGCTTATTCCTTGGTCGGCCAGCCATTGTTGAAGACAAAATCGACCAGGAATTGGCTAAAATGGACGGCCAGATCAAGCGCAAACGAAATGAACAATTGTGAGTTCGAACTCTTGTAGATTTTCCCCACGTTTTTGCTACATGCATAGTGTAGCTTTAGATAGCAGGCGCTTGTATGGCACTTGTAAAATTCAGCCTATGCATTCAAAACACTTTTATCCTGTTAATCATCTCTACTGTTAGTTGTACAACATAAATCTCGTTCGAAACATACATCCGTACATATTAATCATAAACACTCGAGATAAATGTAGCAATTCCATCATTTAAAAAACGCCCGCATTTGGCTTATTTTGTCCAATTTTCACCCACGGTTCACGCCTGCCAGTCCCATTACTTTGCCGCATCAACTTATGACATCGGAAGTAACCCTGTCCTAGTGCTCCAATCATTATTAATTGATGAAACCGAGAGGTTCAACCGTCTATTTTCGCTCTATTTACTAATGCATAAAAGTTTCTATCTTTTCAACTACCAACTCAGACTTCTTTGACCTAATGGACTCGCGACACAAGAGCGGTAAAGCTGATGTTTTCACACTATCGAGAATCAGCCTAATCCAAATGCCCCAGTGCTGATGATTTACCGAATATATGTTGGTGCGACCGCGTGCCATGTGAAGGTCTCGAGGCCCTCACTGATGAAAGCACGTGGACCAAACGCTGTAGGTTAGGAGAACCAATAGCACCCTATCTACTGGTCTGCGGTTTTATTGCCTTCCTTTAAGTCATTGATTACCCCACTCGGACAATATGTTTGGATAGCACGATGCAAAAATTTAGGTATGCGATGAACAGATATGATTAAGATTTGCACGAACCCACAAAACCCATTCAATACTTTTCCTTGGGGTACTGAGTCATCGTAATTACGGGCTCCAGGGGTTACTTACACAATTCATTTTTACGAATATGCCAATATCAGTAGGCGCCAGCATTTATCCATGGCCAACGATGATTAAAGTGTGGAGCGCACCTGAGCTTTTCGTAAAGAAATGACCGTGGGACGTTACTGAAGTACGATTGTCCTATTTTTGATCGTATACCCAAAGCCTATAAAATCGAGGAGTCCGTGGGTACAATATTAACTCCCGTAAGAAGCGAGTTAATTGCAGAAGGCACATGATCACGCTTGATGATACAGCTACATTACTGAGCGAGTTGGCAAATTGTTTCTAATTCTTCATCGCCATGGATCAAGGAGCTAACAAGTAGGTGGTGATGTTTTTCTAACAGTTTACACCTTGTGGCTGCAACTCATACCGACTAATGGGGCCTCTCCAAAGGATTTATCCATGGTCAACTGTATCACCAAACGATGATCGAACGGTCAGGCGACGTAGTCCAAATCATCCGGATCGACCAGTGTATCATCCGATAGCACCTCTAAGCTAAACTAGGCAGGATTCTTTGATTCAGTCTGTAGTAAAATTGAATGAAGATGGCGAATGTAAAAGCCATGATGAACGCTGCTTGTTGTCGGAATTGCGTTCGGCAATTCACCATAGACCATTGTGTGATTGGGTCTAGACGCATCGGATGTTCCTTTTTCTTTGTACACGCTTCCCAGCACTTGCGTCAAACATGGTACATAAGTATTTAGAATTGAACACGCCGTCTCTGTCGTTGTCGTACAGTGCGTTTTTCTCTACTTTGCTACCCACTGTTTACAAGCGAACAGTGTGGTTTCAGGCCGGTGGCAAAGTGGTCCAAACTTATGGCTTGCGACCGATGGACCACTGGTTCGAGCCCTTTTGAGTGCACGTGACCCTGTAGTATCCTTAAGAAGCACACCACTGGCGGTGTACGCATAGCAACAAAGCGTCTGCGCGATATCGGTAGTAGTAGCAGTAGTAGTAGTAGTCGTCGTCGTCGTAGTAATCTTAACAGTCTATCAACTAGACACAGAGGCAACATATAACCGTGGATCTCAGCGGATGAGGGACCGTCACCGCGTCATAATGACCGTGGCATGGTAGTTGAAGGTGAGCAGCACACTTCAGCTAATATGTCGCAGGAAGAATGGAACATTTTGACAAAAAGTAGAACAAAACATTTTTACAGAAGAGTAGTAGGGGGAGTTGAATGGTATAGGTAGAATTTCGTCACATCTAGGCTCACTCAGACAGCCGCCACAAGCCCGGAAAAGCACTGTACGCGCGTTTCATCCTTTCGGGAATCATCAGCAGTGCGCATTCCATCGGACCCTTGGTAGGGCTCGAAACCGCAACTCGACTGTTGCCAGTCCGTGGTTGAGACCACTGAGCTACGGGGGACGGCAACGACCATTCAAGTTGAATTTGGAAGCACGAAGAACAAAACATTTTTACTTGGTTTGTCGCGCCGTTTTTTCTCTTTTTTACCATTTTTAATGTTTGTAGTATTAAACATGTGAATCAGTACAATACTGCACACAATTCTTCCACTGATTCCGGTTGCGGGCCATGTCTTCAAGAGTGTTAAGCCATTGGCACTCCTCATCTTTGGGTCCCCATCCTGGAAGACGTACGGATCCAACAGCGGCTAGACATGACGTCAGCGATTTCATGTGCTGCCGCCAGGTGGAAGGCTGACCACCACGCGGTCGCTTCCAGCCAGGTCCTTGACGAGCAAATAGAGCGCGACGCGGTAGACGCTCAGGAGCCATGCGTAGGACGTGACCGAGCCATCTCAACTGGCGCAACAAAACCAGTTTGTTGAATGGAATACTTGCACTCCCCAAGATGCGACGTCGAACGTCATTACTATTAACTCGATGTTGCCACCAAACACGAGCAATCCTCCTTAAGCAACCATTATCGAAGGCAGAAAGATGACGCATGTCTTCCACGCGAATCGGCCAGGACTCGCACCCATACAACAATACTGAGCGAACTGATGCGCTGTAAACGCGACCCTTTAGCGAGAATGAGACGTCGCGATGACGCCACAAGTGCCTCAGATTGACAAATGCTGATCGAGCTTTAGCGATATGAAGAGAAACTTCTTTGTTGATAGTGCCGTTAGCAGAAAAACAGCTCCCAAGGTAGATGAAACTGTCTACCTGTTCAAGTTGTGCACCGAGAGTGAGCACGGGAGCAGGTGAAAGCCAATCCTTGAGCAGTACTTTACACTTCGATGGGGCGAAGCTCATGTCATACTTAGATGCTTCAACCGCCAAACGATCCAGAATGAGTTGCATACCCTGAGGATCGTCACCAAGTAAGGCGATATCATCAACATAATCTAAGTCGGTCGCGCGCTTACCCGGTAGAAGCTCTAAGCCAAAATGTTGGAAACCTTCTAGAGCATTCGACAGAACGTCTTCGATTGCGAAGTTGAAGTGGAATGGGGACATAGGGCAGCCCTGTCGCACACCGCTATTGACAGCGAATTGCGAGGAAAGCTTGCCATAGACCCTCACTCTGCCGGATGTATGAAGGTAAATTGCTCGTAAGGTGGCGGTATATTTCTCTGGCACCCCGTTCTTTAGCAAGCAACGCCATAAAGCAGGTCGATCATCGGAGTCAAAAGCGGCACGTATGTCTAGGAATGCAACGATAGTGTACCTGTGATAAATGTGGCGATGTTCGAGGAGCTGGCGGAGCGTGGAGATTTGATCCACGCATCCGCGGCCAGGACGGAAACCAGCTTGTTCTTCACGGTAGTATGATTCACGTACTGGGGATAGTCTGCGAAGCAGTATGGATGCTAATAGCTTAGTGGCAACCGAAATAAGACTAATCCCGCGATGATTTGCACATGAAGTGCGAGCGCCTTTCTTGAAAATCGGGACAATAACTGATTCGCCCCAAGAGGAAGGCACTTTCTCTTCATGCCAGATTTTTGCGAACAGCGCGGTCAGCTGGTTAATGATCACCAGGCCGCCGTACTTGAATAGCTCCGGAGGAAGTCCGTCTAAGCCGGCAGCCTTGAAGCGCTTCAAGCGTCGAATCTCGAGGCAGACTTCCGCTTCGCTGGGTGGATTCAGTGGGACGAGCCAGGGTGGACAACAAGGTGTACTGCATGTACTGATGGAAGGTGGAGGCCAGTTGAACTGCGAGTGAAGGTGCTCGGCCCAGCGGTCCATACGCCTCTGTTGGTTGGTGATCGGAGACTCATCCACCTCACAAATGACCTCACTGACACCAGGCTTCCTGAGGCCAGTGGACCGAATGAGTTGGAAAAGCCTGCGAGTGTTGCCAGAGAGAGCAGCGGTCTCCATCTCTAAAGCGCACTCAGACCACCATGTCTCGCGATCCTTGCGTAGGCTTTGCTTGAGCAACCGGTTGGCAGAACGGTGCCGCTCGTTGCAATCTGATTCCGCGGGGATATCTTTGCGGCGTTCGAACAGCTCCAGAGAACGAGCAGAGATCCAAGCCTTCAAGGGGCGTCGAGTTAGGCCGCAGCATGACTGTCCGGAGATGGTCATCGCTTTCCGTATACAAGTCCAGTGTTGTTCCACTTCTTGCGGTGGATTGCAACTGAGTGCATATGCCAGTGAAGACTGATAGCTCGTCTGGACAGAGGAATCAGTTAATCTGTTTACATCAATCTTGCGGTGCTTCGTGTTTCGGGACCCTCCAAAACACATACAGATTTTCGCGCAGACCAGAGCATGATCTGAGTCAACGAAGGTGGACCAAAAGGACCTGCAGTCCAGTACGCTGCCGCGCCATCTGAAGCTAATTGCAATGTGATCAATTTGAGACCACGGTTGTATTGCAGAAGTGGGACGCCACGTTGCGGAACGCTTCTTCGTACGCCTGAAGTTAGTGCTCGAAAGAAACAGACGGTTGTCTTCGCACAATGTGAGAAGCCTCTCTCCGTTATCAGAGCGGTTCTCATCGAGCGCGTGATGACCACCAAGGTGGCGTTCGTATGGTAACAGGCGGCCAACCTGTGCATTAAAATCCCCAGCAAGGATAACGACATCCGACTTTTTAGCATTAGTCAAGAGCTGTTGTAGATTCCGGTAGAATTCGTCCTTGACCGAGTCGCCACTGCAGTCATTTGGAGCGTACACGGAGATCACAAACAAGTTGTGTCTCTCTTCGCGGT